CCTCCCTACAAAGCCTGACATGTTAGATCTGTATCATTCTATTTTTGATCTGAATCATTGTTTCCTGTAAGTCTGTCAAGGATGTGAAATACAGAACGAATTCAAACATTGCATTGTTGCGGTTGTGGTAGTTTATCCTTCTTGATATCCTTATGGCCAGAAACAGCAACACCACAGTTCTCTTCAAACAATAACCTTCTCTGGATAGAGCTACGTCTTCGGTGCCCTTTTGAACAACAAAGTCTTTGATCCTCCTGTCTCATTGCAGGGGTCTGTTGGATTCTTTTTTTAATGAAGAGCCTTGGGCTTTGGTGGGACTGTGGGACTGATATCCTTGATTAGCCTTGTTTTGGCGTTGATTGAACCTGTGGAAGGGTGACTTTTTGCCCACAAGCAACACACATTCAGGGGCCCTTTATACATAGAGCCTGTGTCCCTTGAAGGATGTTCCCAGAGGTAACCTGGATCCAAGTTGTTCGGGGCATTTTACGTTCCAATTGAAATGTCTTATATTTGGCTCGGTAGCGTGTTGGCAGCCCTTTCACTGAAGGCAACCTTGCTCTGGCATTCCTCGTGAGCTGCAGCTCAAGGCTCAGCCTTAAAGGAAGCCCCACATAGAGAGCATTGCAGCACAACAATCGCCAATGCCTGTTTTATGGATGAGACCAGTGAAACATTGGTGGTGCAGTGGGAAGTTGAATTATGGTCCAGGAAGCTGAGAGGACACTTAAAATTCATGTCATTCAAGTTGATCTTTGAAGTCCACAGAAAATGCCTTGGGGAACCCTGGAGGAAGCTAGAACTCTGTTGTGTGGACTGCCTGGATGATGGAGATGTGGAGCTGTTCCCCATCCATTCTCCTGGACCAAGAGGTCCCCCACTTAGCCTGGGTCAGTCCCCAAGCTGAGGTTGCAAAGCTGGAAAAAGGCTTCTTGTCGTTTGTTGTCAGGACATTCTTCTTCAGGCTCCAAGTCCCGGCTCTCATCTCTCTTTTTCGCTGGGTCACACGGATTTCGATTGCCGTAGCCATTTGTATCTGGTGTGTGTGGCACTTTAAAAAGGAGAGAAAACACCTTCCTTTCCCAGTGCTGCTCTTGTAGCGCAGTGCACCTGATCCCTTGGATTTGGACCGGTTTGACTAGTTTCACCTGTGCTGGGGGAGCGCTCCCTCTGAGCTGCTTTAAAAATAAGTGTTGCGAAACCTCTCAGCCTTGGCAACAGCATGTAAACAGTCTGTGCGCCAGAGTGTGTGGCCGCCTAGAAACCTCCCAGCCTTGGGAGTTGCCCTTCTTTTGATATGTACAGCAGGTCTGCTGCCTCGACAGACGGGATCTTATTTCTTCTGAGACAACTTTGGGATCTTGGAACTTGCCAAGCAGAGGCATTGCTGCCAAGAATGAGTGCAAGGATTAAAATCAAGAGAACCCAGGGGGGAAAGGGATGTGCGTGTCTCTTCCATGTCTTTTCCCAATGCATCCTTCTGTGCCACAACACTTTGCTTTGTGAAAGCAACCAGCTTTTTTTTTAAAAAAAATATTTGCTACCAGAATAGAGAAGAGCCCTTTCTTTCCCTACCTGTGTGCCTCCTGCTTGATTCCCAAATGGGATTCCTAATAAAACCAGAACTGATGCTTTAGTATCTTCTAGTTGTTCAGACGCGGGTGGCGCTGTGGGTAAAACCTCAGCGCCTAGGACTTGCCGATCGCATGGTCGGCGGTTCGAATCCCCGCGGCGGGGTGCGCTCCCATTGTTCGGTCCCAGCACCTGCCAACCAAGCAGTTCAAAAGCACCCCCGGATGCAAGTAGATAAATAGGGACCGCTTACCAGCGGGAAGGTAAACGGCGTTCCGTGTGCCGCACTGGCTCGCCAGATGCAGCTTGTCATGCTGGCCACGTGACCCGGAAGTGTCTGCGGACAGCGCTGGCTCCCGGCCTATAGAGTGAGATGAGCACACAACCCTAGAATCTGTCAAGACTGGCCCGTACGGGCAGGGGTACCTTTACCTTTACTAGTTGTTCAGATTATATATTGAGCATCTGCACCACAAGCAAGCCCATTAAGATGTTTCGCAATGACCATGTTTTGGGACTAAGCAGTAGACTTTACAAACACCTGGATGAAAGCATGCCAAAATAAAAATCCTTTGTGCATGTATCCACGAACCTTTATTTTTGTATGATTACACCGCTTCTTGACTGCCCATTGGCCAGAATCCCCTAGGCACTTTGCAAAAATCAAGAAAATGCACAAATGCAGCATGCACAATCTGTGAAATAAAAATGAACAAGAAAATTAAATCCGTGAGAAAAGGACATACAACACAATATTACTAAAATGTCTATCCTGCCAAAGGATACTAGGGCAGCAGACACCAAAGTGGCAAAATGAAACTATTAAAAACAAAAAAATTCAAAATAATTCAAAATCTTTTAGAACTTGTTAAAGCATGGAAAACATCTAAAAACATGCTTCAAATTTCTCTTACTTCTCTTCCCCTATCTTCTCTCCATCCCTCCTCCTCCTTTTGGCTTTCTGGTTCACGGAGCGATTTTGTGCATGCACGACTGGAACTTTATTTGTGCATATGCAAAAATCATTAACAGTGCATCCTTTTGCATACATTAATGCAAATGAGGAAGTGTGAATTTTTAAATGGCTCAAAACCAAACATACCCCAACAATGAAACCATTCTTCCCTTCCTGGAAATAATTTGCTGTTCCATTATATTTATGCAGTGTACCCAGTCAATGATATCAGGTTAAGCCAAGTTTATCTGTAACTGAGCAACTCTTTGGTGCTAGAACATTGTAGTCAAAGTGAAATGTTTCCAGCCTTCAACGCCCTGATCAGCTATTGGTCCAGCTTTAGGGCATTTTCCCCTTACCTCTTCCCCTCCCCTGCAAAATCTGTATGTTATTTAACAAACTTTTAACATCATTATGTGGGACCCTGCATTTCAAGACAGCATGGAGCTTGAGTTCTGAACGGGTGGCAATGAGACTGCATTTCCTTAATGAATAAATTTCATTTAGTCAACCACCAGAAAGAAACTTTGTGCCTGTTTTGTTTTTCTTGCTTTCCAGTCACTGCTCTCATACTATGGAGTAGAGATTCGGCAGAGATTCGGCAGGCATCCCTGCTTTTGAATTTCGGGCATCTCTTGAAGACTGTTTGTGCTGAGAAGCATTTGCAGCTGTTTTGTTAGTTGGTTGCCAGACTTGATCTCCTGTATTTTCTTTTACATTGTATGATGTACAGCCATTTAATGTATATTATGATATGACGGTATAGAAACACCTTTTGTAAATAAATAAAAATAACCATTGCTGACCACTGTTTATGATGAATGTGGATGGTGGGAATTGTAGTCCAACAGCATCTGGAGAGAACCAGGGTTGGCTAACCTCTGATTTTAATTTGTCTGTCTCATCTCCCCACCCTTGTTTTTCACTGTTAGATCATGAAATTCCAAGCTGGTAGCTAAAATAAGGAAAACAAGAAGTGCAAATGATAGCAGCTGGGCTTAAACTGATCATTTCCTATATGGGGAAACCCCCGCTCCCAAGCTAGCAGTGTATGAGGTTGTAAAACCTGTTTGCTTGCTTGCCAACAAGAGTTCAGCATCTGTGCAGGCCTGCTGGAACATGTCTACAGCTGTGCATTCTAGTGGGAACTCTGTATTCCTCTCTGTGTTTTTATTTTTTGATATTCTGAATTAAGACACAGTTTTTACAAGGTTTTTTATTTTTAAAAGTCCCAAGAGCTCTTGAGATATAACAATTCCTGTTACCCTTCATCCCATGTGAACATGAGGAACACATGTTTGGATCTTTTAAGAGTCACTATATGCTGCCGGCACCCAGGTGGGGTGTAGTGCAGAGTCGATAGATGGGGATAGGGTGCTTGAGCCATGCGGTTTATTACAGAAGTGGGAAGAATGGTTACAGAAACAGCATTCAAGTGGGGCCTGTTAATTCTATAGAGGGCGTTAGGGATGGATGGAGTCTGAGATTGAGCGAACTTTTAAGTGTTCCCTCTGCTCTTGTGAACTTCTACTGAAGGTGGGTTTTTTAAAATCACTGATTTGAAATCTGACTGAAGCAGCATATGAGTATGATCTCAAACCTCTGCGTGTCTTAATAGTTCCCATAATGACAAAATCCTTTTTCCCGTCTTCATTTTTTTTGGTAAACACATGTGCACACTCGCTTGCATATTTACTTAAACAGTTCACATCTGCATATGTGTTGTCTTTGAAACGTTTTTTTGCTGTTGTTGGTTTTAATTGTTTGTATAGATGGAGTTGTGTTTCGTTATTCTGCTGTTGCAGTTTTCACTGCAAAATTGCTTTGAGATATTTTATGGGAAGCGGTTCATAAATGCAGTCAGTTGAAAAATAAATAAAACGTGTGTTCTTCCATGTCGGCCTAGATCATTTTCACTTTGTTTATTTTATAGCGTTTGCCCCCCTCTTCAGCCCAAATGCCTCTCAGAATGGCTTACACACAATCAGTCAAAGCAAGACAGATTCTTGCCCACAGGCGTACCATTGCAAAAGCAAATAAACAAGACACACAAGGGAAAAGTGACAGGAAGGGAAGAGGAGAAAAACAAACTCAGGCACCAATTCTTCAATAGTTGGTTCTTATATTAATAGGAAGTGAACCTACACGATCCTATCCATACTTTGCAGTTGGCGTGAGAAGGCATCCCTGGCCTGTCATTAGCAAAATCAGATTGCAGGTTAAGAAGACAGGGCTTTCTCAGCAGTGGCACTGTAGTTATGTCATTTGGTTCCCCAGGGAAATGTACCGAGCCTCTTTCCCTACCTGATTGAAAATATTTCTGCTCCACAAGACTTTTCATGACTTTTTAATGCTAGGTTGTTTGTGCTACGTCTTACATATTTTGTTTACGGGGTGATGTGCTTTTAACTGTTGGATATTGTTCTTCTTTTTCCTTGATAACTTGGGGGAGATTTTATTTTTGAAGGCGGGATATAAGTCCAAAAAACAAAGTGCCATGTTGCTACTTGCTAGTACTCCAGCATTTGCAGGCATGCCATTCCCTGCAAGTATCAGTGTTCTGTAGTCTTCGGGAAAGTACATTGTTTGAGCATCTCCTGACCTGAATGTGGAACTTGGTGTTTGAACTTAGTGTTTTTTTTAATGTGTGCAACAGCTTTTGTTCCCCACTTGAAAAAAGTTGCATGAGGCAAGCAGGTGTTTAAAATGTAAGCTGATAAATATGAGTTGTATCCACTGCAACTCTTCCATTAGCGCATGGATTTTTGCTTGTGCAACAGGACTTTCCTCCCCTCCTTTCTCTGTTCTCCTGCAAATCTGTGCCGGGGTTTTCCCCAGTCCTCTGGAGCAAATTTTGGAGAAGGTTCAGGGTGCACAGAGGGAGGAAGTACAGTTGTGCAAGTGGAAATCCTTGCATAGATGGGATGCTTGCTTAGCCTTGCATTGGATACACACCTATGTATTTATGATGTAGCCTTTGTTCAATGATAGAGTGTGTGCTTTGCATGCAGACAGTCGCAGTTTGAACCCACGGCTTCTCCAGGTAGGCCTGTGAAAGAAGCTTGTCTGAAACCCCAGAAAACTGCTGCCAGTCAAGGTAAACAAGACTGAGCTAGGTGGACCCAGGTCTGACTTCGTATAAGGTGGTGCTGTGTCAGACACCATGTTTCACAATCAATCTATTCAACCTCGTTTCAGATATTACATACCCTCCAACATGTTCAGTCCCAAAACTGGGATGCTCATCTTTCTGTCTGCACTCCCACAAAATCATGGAGCCCCAAAGATGTTCTGTTTTCAGGGCTGTGCTCTTGCGGCACCCCAAAACACGTGTTTTGGGGTGCTGTGCGAAAAGGTTTTTTTAGGGGGGGCGAGATCTTGGTGCAAAATTGCATGAGATCATGGTGACCAAAATGGCCGCCATTCTCTCACAGGAAAAAAACAAGATGTTCAGGTTTTTCCAGGGCACTTGCAGGGTATGATATATTACACCATGGGCTTGGTTGCATTTTCCCAGATTCCCTTGAAAATAGGGCAAGGCCTGAGTTTGGGTTTTGAACTTGTACCACATAACAGGGTCCTGAATGAATGTACCAGATTCTTCTCAGAAACATAGCCTTCAGTGGAGCTACCCAGCTACAGGCAAACCGACAAGCGGGCTTCGCTTGGCCAGTTTTAGTTTCCTAGCAGAATCTTTTGTTCAGCTTTTGTTCCACAGTGTGTGCTGCTTCCTGCTTTTCCTGTTGTCTTCATATAGGGAAACCATATATGAAAGAAGGGCAAGCGTGTCCCTGCAATGTTGGTGTGGCTGTTTCAAAAACAGGAATTGAGTCATAGCCTCCAAATGAGGTGGTCTCCTGGAAAAGGATAAAACAACACAAGGCCACCCCCCTTAGAGACAGGAAGACTGCTGGTATTGAGCTCAAAGCTCCCAAGGCCACCGTTGTTAATATGCAACAGCATTTCCTTTATAAACATGCCTCTCCGGTCAGCCTTGTAAGCACACCTGGGCTCACTGTTTCCAAAATGTAATTGACCAGGCCTCGTCTGGGAATGATTTTAAAAGCCAATCAGGCCATTTGGCCAAATTAGTTCTTAATTTGAAGGACACTTCAGACTTTTAAATGGTGACCACAATCAACCTGCAGCGAGATGTTTATGTGGATTTTAATTCTTTGTTTTTTAATTTTTTTTTTAAAGCAAATGCTTGTTAGCTTAGCTTCACACATATGCAGCAGTAAAGAGGAAGATATTTGGGTTCCTTTCTCAGAGCCGGTCTTGAATACAAGTTGGCGCAAATCACAGGTGGAGAGAGTCCTGTTGCACTCAAGTTCTGCTTGTTTCCTCCCATGAGTATTTGGCAGGCCCAGTGCTCCATAGTTGATGGGTCATTGTTCATCTCATCAGCTAGCCTTCTCCTCTAGAAACACCACTGTGGCAGAAGAGGCTGTAAAAGAAATCTGTCCTTTCCATAGGCGTAACGACAACTGTTGTAGTGCAGCAGTTTACTTGATCATAGCCCCATTGCATCTAAGGCGTCTCAGTGTGTATTTATTGTGTTATATAAACACAAGAATGTTGACCTCTCTGTGGCACCACCAGCTCCACACCTTTGTGAGACGTACAATTCATAGCTATTAAATCCATGCCTCGGTTTCACTGTGAGTTGGTGTTTTCCTGTGTTTTCTAGTGCCAGGCTGTAATTTGGTTCTGATAATGGGCTGGACTGTGTAAACTAAATATAGGGTGTGTTGTTTGGGATGTGGTAGATTATAAGGCCACCCTTGGGAGGTGGTGGACTCTCCTTCTGTGACGGACAGCAGAGCCAGACTAGAGTCTGGTTGGCTACAGAGTCAGCTGACCACAGAGCAGTGGGGTACAGCACTTTTTTGGGGGTGGGGGGAAAATAAAAGGAGCAGTTTCTGAAGGAGAGCGTTAGATAGGGCTGGGTTTAAGATGAGATATAGTGCTGGATTTGAGAAGAGGGATAGGATTTCATTAGAGATGCTAGACAGGTTTCAGTTTGGGAGATAGGGAGTGAGATAAGGAGAACTGGTTCTGAGTGAAGTGAAACATACACATTGAAGAGACTATCCATAGTGAGAGGACAGAGCCTCACAGCTTGGATAGGGAGACCGGGTTGAGGGTCTGGGAAAGGTATACAGACAGGAGTGTCCTGGGAGGGCTGAGTCTGAACTGGGAGAGGTAGATCCTGTGGGAATTCAGGCTACCTGGGTCTCAGTGTTGTTGTTGTTAGAATTTATATACCACCCTATAACCGGGGGTCTCAGGGCGGTTCACAGAATAACAGCCAGGAGGGGAGAGTTCTTCTAGGTAGAGAAGACTCCCAACCCAGTAACAAGGGGTGAGGGGATCCTCTGGGTCTGTTATACCATTTAGAAAATCTCAGATGTGGGATTCTTAAGAGAGTGGGTACCTGAGGAGAAGTGCCCCTCGCTCATGAGCCGCAGTAATAATCTGTGAAGGAAACTGTATGGTGTTGAAAATATTTAACTGTAATATCTAAGTAACAGAAGCTGAGTTGAGCATTTTGCCATCTATCCTAAAAACCTTAACATCCACCATCTGATTTTTAGTAACTGAACTTTAAGAAGAGCTGTGCCAATTGTGTTGTGTTTGAGCCTGAGACATCTTAGAGTTAGTTAAAGCAAACAAGTTAACTTCTACCTAAAAGAACGCTTTTCCTGACCCACTTTGTTTCATAAACCTCTTTCGTTTAATAAAACTTTTCTAGTTTGTTTAATCAACTCTTGCCTGAGACTCTAAATCATTAAGTTTCCCCTCACACAAGTCCCCCACTAGATAATCTGTGGTAAATTGTAGGAATTCATGTAATTGGTGTACCTTGAAGTGGGTGCACTGTATTTCATAGGGAGTGGATCCGCCACATTATTAATTCGTGGTATTAAGTGGTGGTTCCACTACACCTTCCTTGGAGGTTTTAAGCAGAGGTTGGATGGCTGCCTGTTATGGATGCTTTAGTGGAGATTCCTGCATTTCAGGGAGTTGGTCCTCACGGTCCCTTCCAATTCTATGATTCAGGGATCTTGGTCGAAGCTAAATGGCAGTCTGATGAGCAAAATGTGCTAGCAGCTCTTTACGTGTATGTTTGTAGCAGATGCTGTTGACTAAATGTGAATTTCACAAAGCAGTTTTGATTGAAACCGTTGGCTACAGCAAGACCCATAGAAGTGAGTCAGTAGAAATCCCCGCTTTTTAAATTCCCTGGCATATTCCCAGTTGATCTTCATGGTCTTAGCTGTTTTCAGTGAAACCCATTTTAGTCATAATTTTATTTTTGTAAATCAGGTTATCCACATGCAGTTGCATTGTAATTAAATTTCTCCCTTCCCTACAGCACAGCCTATCTTCTGCAGGCAGAAACAGGGTAAGGGTGTATCATGCAATTACTTTCCCAGCCAAGTTACTTTCCCATCGAGGAAGTGGGCATTTGAATAGCCCGAATGCTTGGTATTTGAATGCCTTGAACACGTTCAGGGAAAGCAAATGAGGTGACATACTGGAGATGATGGATTGGAAAGCAAAAAAGCCTTGAATTTTTCTTTTTCTTTTTTACCTTCTAAAATGACTGCAGTTTGCATTGCATGGAAATGTTACGGATCATGGAGATAAAGGCAAAGCTTCCAAATATTCTTTTGGAGTTCCCAAACACTGGTCCATGGACTTCAAAGGGATGTGGGTGACGCTGTGGTCTAAACCACTGAGCCTCTTAGGCTTCCCAGCTGGAAGGTCAGCAGTTTGAATCCGTGCGATGGGGCAAGCTCGCGTTGCTCTGTCCCAGTTTCTTCCAACCTAGCAGTTTGAAAGCATACCAGTGCAAGTAGATAAATAGGTACCGCTGTGACAGGAAGGTAAACAGTGTTTACATGAGCGCCGCACCCCATAGTCGCCTTGGACTGGATATCCCGTGGTCCTTTACCTTTACTTTTTACCATGGACTGCAAGTGGTCTGTGAGGTTCATTCAGGTTGGTCTGTGGTGTGTGTCTGTAGAACAGCGGGATCATTGGCTATGAATGGCAGGCTCAGTGCATTAAACATTCATACTGATTTTTAATTTTAACTTTATTGCTTCTTATATTGCATTATGGATCATTTCATGTTACACTGAATTCTATGGAGTTCAAATTGCAGTACACACTGAAATACAATATAATAAACAAACAAAAAAGCACTAAAATGCAACTAAAAGTCTCACAGTGTCTAGCAATATAGTACTGAACAACTTGGTACTGAAATACAATATAATAAATAAAAGAAGCACTAAAATGCAAATAAAAATCACACAGTGCCTAGCACGGTGAGTTACAATTGTTACAATGGGCCGAAAAATCCTCAAGTGACCTGCCAGTTTTCAAGTGGTCAGTGTGGGGACAGAAAGAGAAAGTCTGAGGTACTAAAGCATGTGTGAAGAAAGTGGATAGAGAAAATATTTTCTCCCTCATAACACCAGAACTAATGGACATCCAATGAAGCCAAATGTTGGAAGATTCTTGCAGCACATAGTTGAACTATAGAACTCACTCCTGCTGGAGGCAATAATGGCCACCAATTGGATGGCTTTGAAAAGAGGATTAGAAGGATTCACGAAGGCGAAGGGTATCAACAGTTACTAAGCCTGATGGATATGCACTGCCTTCATTATCAGAGGCCTTCCCATTGCCAGAGGCTGATTCAGGGGAGGGTGACCTGTTCGGTCACACTGGGTGCAGAGCCGTCCTAGGGGGTGCTTCAACTACAATTTAGAATGGAGTGTGAGAGGCAGAGGTTGCCGAATTTGGGCATCACAGAGACCGCAGGTCCTCTGTTGCCATTGGCCATTTTCCCTGACAGGACTCAATTTATACCCAAGATTCTCTTTGGTAGGCTGATATTCCCATTTTACATATTGGAAACTCAGAGTCCAGACTTTGCTGTGGGTATCCTGCAAGGATTTTGCTGCCTGTATCCCAGTGGCTCATCAAAGCATATATATTTTTGGAGGATATACAGTGGGGAATCAAATGTGTTAATCTCTTCTGTGTTCCTACAGAGCTTGGGAATGCTAATCAGAGCTTTTGTTCTTTTAGTTCATAATTCACTCGTTGGCATCTTCGGGATATTGGATTAAGGGAAAGCAAAACCAATGGGTACAAGACAGACTTAATTTAACAAGCTCTGTTTTCAAGTTTCCATTGCATTTCAAATCTAATTGCTTCTCATGGGAACTACTCAACACTGAATCCAACCAGAATATAGATTTTGACTTCTTCCAGCTTACTTACTAAAGAGTAAATGGACTTATTAACAGTTGTACGATTCCAGAGGCGCCCCCCTTCTGTGCCCAGGCATGAATTGAACGCTGCTGCATTTTCATTTTGTGTGTTGCGTGAACTGCTTCCTGGCCATTGTTGAGGGCACTGCCTGCTGTTGCTTTCATTGTCCTTTGGGGATGAATGTGCGAGACTAGCAACCACTTACTAGCACAGAAGATTGCTGTTTGTTTAAGGAAGAAGGAACACTGCACTCATGATGTCACCCGGAAGGGTATTACTACCGAATGGGAAAATTAGAGAAAGTATCGTGAAATCATTTACTTATTTGTTTTCTATGCATCTCTCTGCCCACAAGCCTGGAAGAAAAGTATGGAATAGGTCTGTGAAGCGGCTGGCTAGAAGGCTACTGAGAATTCCCCTTTTACGATACTTGTTGTACCTTAAGAGCCCTGTTGTCCTTAAAAAGCCATACCAGTCTCTCTGCACATGGCGTCCCTTTTTTATAAGCACGTTCTGGGTCTGGCGCCACCCGTGAACTTCATTAAATAGGGCATCGGTCCTGTTAAATAATCAAAACTTACTTTTGTGTAGCAATAGAATTAAGTGCTGGGATGCTTTTGCATATGCTACATGCAAAGCAAACAAAAACGGTGCAGAAAAGCGGCATGTATAAGATATGCTCAGGAGCCAATTACAAGAAGCATAGGCTTTGGAGACCTAGAGCTCCTGGCAACTTGGCTTTGCTGATTCATACAGCAGAGTAATGAGTGTTTTCTTTGGCTGACAGGACATTGCCACAGTTCCCCAGAAGTGACCTTTCCCCCTCCCCTCCCCAAAACCTGCAGAGCCTCCTATGTAGTGTTGCCAGCTTAGGAAACAGCTGCTTTTCTAGGCAGTGTCCAAGGAAAGAGATGACTCATCCAGCTGAATCCAGCCTAGACATGAAAGTTTTGCCTAGCCTACGGGTTCAGCAAATCCCATCTTTAGCAGACAGGGTCCCAGCAATGAGGAGAGCAAGAGAATTTTGAAAGAAAGCATATAACAGTCTCTACTTATTGCAGTCAGATACCATTGAAATGCAGTGCTCAGAGAATCGCCACGCTTGGGAACAAGTGAGCTAAAATCTTCCCTTAATGTGATTATATTTTCCTTTCATAGTCAGTGTGTCGTATCAGACAGAATGTTGCCTGCTCATGTTCTGGAAGAACTTGCCTATGTTTTTGTAACCAGATTTTCAGGCTGCAGAGGGGTATCTGTCTCTGCCCCCACCCCACCCCGCTAGATTATAATTTTGTTTTGAAGACACTTGCATTTCATGCTGTTGTCACCTCAATTCTAATAGTCAGTTTGAATGGATAGAGAAGATCAGACTAGGATCCTCCACTCGCTTTTGTTGCATTGGACTATAACTGGGATCTTGACAGCCTTCCAAATGACTGGCCGTTTTTGCAAAAATGTTTCATACTCTGAATAAACTTCCTTTGGGTGTGCAACTAGTCACTGTGAGTTGCCCTCCTTGAAGCCAATCGTTATCCGTTAACAATAACAATTTTATAGCACTTTGAAAGTGTTTTAGGATGTATTTCATTAAAACAACATTTTCTAATGCCTCTTGCATAGGTAACAATTCTCCTCCTCGGCTATCCTATGATGAAGGTTTATTTATGTATAAAACAATTTCTGTACTGTTTTATGGCCCTTGCAAGGACCCTTAAAGCTTTTTACACAAAGCAGGGATGGAGAACCTGTGGATTACTTTGCTGAGCACGTTGTTGGATTCCCATTTGCATCATTCCTGGTCACTGGTCATGCTGGCAGTGGATGATGGAGTTGACATCCAGCAACACCTGGAGGTCTACAAGTTCCACATTCCTGACACAAATGAATAAAAAAACCCAAACCCAAACAACATCAAATAATAAAAAAAGATAACAAAGTCAAAAACTTCCACCACATGGAATAGTATTTTCACTGCTTGTCTAGCTACCATCAGAGTTGGGCAGCGTTAGTTCCAGGTTTTACAGGGCCTTTAGGCAAGACACCTGCCTCCTCCATCATTAAGTCCATCTCCTCACTGCCCTTATCACCAGCTGCTCCTCCTGTTCTTTTCACATCAGTGCTACCACCTGCTTGCTTGCCAGGCAGAACGCCAGTGAGCAAGCAGGCAGGAACATCTACTCTTCCTTCTTGCCACCACTGGTGTCTGCAACAGAGTGAGAAGCTGACAAACAAATAGAAGAAGAGGAGCAGGCCCAAGGCTCTTTTGTCAGTGGAGATCTTGCCGGGGTCTCTGCCTGCCTGCCTGCCTGCCTGCCTGGGCCTACTCTTGATGCCAGCTTCTGAGGATGAAGCTGGTCGTCTCACCTCCTTTAGAAGGTTCAGTTATGCAAGGCAGGTTCTGGAAGTGCCCTCATTGTGAGAAGTGAGGTTACAGGAAATCAGGCAGAGGGTATTCTTGGTAATCGCACCCACCCTGTGGAATGCCCTCATGTCAGATGTCAAGGAAATAAACATCTATCTGACTTTTAGAAGACATCTGAAGGAAACCCTGTATAGGGACGTTTTAAATGTTAGATGTTTTACTGTGGTTTTATAATTTGTTGAAAGCGACGCAGAATGGCTGGGGCAACCCAGTTAGATGGGCAGCATATAAATGTGTTCTTGTTGTTGTTGTTATTGTTATCCTGCTTTCTTCTGTGGCAAGCAGCTTTGACTTCCTAGACATAGTAGGATATGATACGACAGTGACAGCTTGAGACCCTCTTTCTCATGCAGAGGGAAGGCTTTTGAGAACAGCAGATTTCACTATATTAAGTAAAATATTCAAGAATGGTTAATCACTGGATTAGATGGTCAAATACTCACAAGGTTTTCTCTGTTTGTGGTTATACATGTACATACGTTTCTCTCTCTCTTTCTCTGTCTCTCTCGGCAAATTCATGCTAAATTTGTATTAAAATCAGTTCAGTGTTCTATGAGCCTTGTTGGAGGTCTGGTAACTCCAGTTACTTCTGGGTGAAACTGACTCGAGCCATTTCAGCTGGATTTCAGACCTTGTTTGGGGGGCAGAAGCAACCTTGGTTGCCTTGTCCGATGACCTTCACGTAGAAAAAGACAGAAGGGACGTACAAACAGATTTATGTTCCTGCACTTCTCAGCAGCTTTTTGATATTGTGAGCCATGCTATCCTTTTGCACAGGTTGTCCCCGTTAGGCCCTGCTACAGAGACACCTCTTGGCAGTGGTTCCCCTCTTCCTTGGATGGCCATTTCCAAAAATTAACAACCTCAGCCTTTCTTGTTGTTTTGCTTATCTTCCAGCTTGAATAATTGGAAACCGGCTCGTTACTTTCCGACATTTTAGTGGATCGTAATAATAAAAGGAAACAGATGGGAGTCTGAGAATTTGGGGTTAGTTTGCCATCAGGCTAGCCTGGGTTTTTCCTGTAGCCTAGGACTGGGAAACCGCAGGTGACTGGATCATCTAAGCACTTGAACATCCTTCCATCCCTGTGATGGGCTCATGTTCCTTGAAACTTCTGGCACCTCCGGACTGATTAAAAACGAAAGGACTCCAAACTCTGTGAACCAAGTCCAGAATTGTTGGTACTTCAGTGTTAACATTTTAAAAGAAATCCCCAAATGGGTGACCTCATTATTTATGTTCATGATGGACGGTGGTTGTGGAAATATCTGTTGTTAGTTGTGGCTCTCTTTCCCACACCACTCCCAGCAGCTCTCAGATGTGCCAAGGAGACACACAGAGAATGCTTGAGAAATTGGCCGTGAACTCAGTACAAGAATGTGTTGGTCTTAGTCTTGCTTCACAATGGGAAAACATGCTGTTTGTGCTATGTCATTCTGTTTCTGAAACGGTAGAGAGTCTGCTTAACAAAAACGCCTCGGACAAAGTCTGGTTAAACAGTAATGGGTCTTTATCGCTACATTAGTAGGTGCGCTGTAAATATGGCAAGCAGAAAATATGTGCTCATG